TGAGAGAATCCAGTGTGCTGCAGGTCACTGTGACGTTACAATCATCTGACACAACAGGATTTATGGTCTTCAGCTTTACTGGAGAGACTGGATCTGAGGAAAAAAGATGTAAACAGCTGTGAAACATGGAGCTATCAACATTAAGAAATAATAAAATCAGTCACTCATCAACAGAAACTTACCTACAACTCTGACTTGGTATTCAGCTGCAGTGACATCCTTGTTTCCGCTCACTGTTGCTTTGTAAGATCCACTGTCATTATGCTGCATATTCTTTATCAGCAAAGAGTAGTTTTGTTGAAAGAACTCAGCCCTTGCAGCATAATCATATAGATTTGGATTTYGTCCMSAATTAAATTTTACCACATTTACACTTTGATTAAATTTCCATGAAAAATCWGAGYTTGGGGTAATCACAGATCTGYTGAYGTTCAGAAGTAGGTCCGATTTGTGCTCCACAAACTTCTGTTTAACACCTAAAAGAAAAGAATACAAGAATAATATAATTATTAAAGTACGATATAATCATGAGCAGTATCAATATCATGAAATTAAATGAAGTATTGAACATGAAAAAGATTAGATGCTTTTCAAATAACCTAACATGCACTAAGAACAAAACTGTGTATTGTGAATACTGCCATGTTGTGATCAAAATAATACATATTTAAAGAATGATAAACAATATTATAGAAGCTGGAGCACAAAATTTTCATTTTATATAAACTGTTATTACAAAAGACCACAGAAAATGTAAAAACTGAACTGTATTTCTGGCTCAAGGAGAACAATTTAAGAAAAGCATTTCAGTCATATTCTTACTAAACACATGTATTGCCTCTCAGAACCTTTTAAACTATTTTTTTTCCTCTTTTACATTGATACAATATTTACCAAATTCCATACAGTTACTTATGATTGTGGTGGGCTGCAATAATCCAAAATCACTCATTTATTAAAGATATGGTATWAGGGGTCCAAGCCCGCAGAGCAGGGGGAACGCATCTGCAAAGCAGCAGTGTTTCCATACATCCAGCAGAGCATGGAACCCTATTGTATCTATTCCAGTTATTAATATTTTTCTTCTGTCGAAAAAGCTCATACTGCAGCCAAAACTGTAGGGAGTATAGAGATTTTAACGTGGTAATAATTTAAAAAAAAATTACAAGTATGGAGGAGAAAAATAATCAGACATGTCAATCTATAGGGGGAGCTATAATCTATGTACTTGGCCCTCTAGCTTCCAAACCATAAGTTGCAAAATCTTTTGGCTTATAGCAGCACAATTCCTGGACACCACTAAATCACATGGTATAGGCCACACCCATTCCACCTAAAAAATTATTATTTTCTCTACAGTGCAAATTTTGCAAAAACTACTTGGACGTTTCTCAAAGGTTTAAAGCTCAATCGCAACGAAACTTACCATCCTATATCTTGTTAGCATGCTGTAAATTTTGAAGGACAAGTATAAAAATGTTTAGGCAATGTTTATAGCTTGTTAAAAATTACTTATACTAAAGTTAAAATAAATGTTTCATATTTTTACTGCGTGTTTTTTGGAAAAACACCAATTCAAAGTATCTTGTAACTCCAGTCCAGTAAGAGTATTTTGTCATTTTTAGGAATTAATTTCTCCCAAAATCCTAAGAGGTGACAACAAATTGTCTTTATATCATGTTAAACAGTTACTTATATTTAAACT